CTGATTAGAGTGGTTAAGTGCAAGTGCATGTATATAATGTATTTATATTTACAGTTGTAAATGATTTAAACAGCTTATAATAGAAACACTAATGTTTATGATTTATAGCCCTTAGAATTATAATTGTATTCTCAGTGTAAAAAACTTCTACTGCAGATTACTGTAGGCACACTGTAAAATAGCAGTCTTTTCATCGTACCCTTATAAAGACAGTGAGAAGCATAGTCTTTCGAGGAAAAACTGCTTTTATATCTTCTGCCAATCTAATCACCAGTTGCGATTTTATTACCACCTTCAAAATATCTCCATATGCTTCAGCATACCTTAGTTACTGATGCTCAGCTGATATTACTTACTTATGACCCCAGATCAGTATCTGGGGTCAGATCGATGCTTCTCCCCCATAAAGATTACTGTTAAGATTTAGGAGGTAGTAAGCTCATTTCAGATCCAGGCTTGAGGGCATCTTCTGCCCTATAGCACAGTGATATTTATGCATGAGACGGGAGAGAAAGAGAGCTCTGGTTGTAGCAAATATCGCTGAGCCGCTGTCTGCCTCTCTGTCTCAGTGGTGTGCTGTGAGATTACCTCCCAAAAGAGGGAGAAGAAATCCTGCACCAAGAAGATAAGAACTTTGTACATGTTTGTCTGTGTTCACACTTTCTCACATAGAAGACACGCACGTCTCTCTCGCAGCACTCTCAACATGCTTGTGCAGCTTAATCTTTAACAGAGTTTATGAACACCTCAGATGAAATATCGTGCACCTCACAGCCTCTCAATAGACCTAACAGAACTTCATCTGGAAGGTTATACATTATTTCTGTCATTACAGATTATATTTTGAACAGTTTCTGTCGATGGATTTAATCTTGGCTACCTGACTCATTATTCTTTAATTACAGCTGACACGCAGAGAGCCAAAGGACCACCGATCAATTCGACCACTGAAAAATAAAAAGTGCTAAAGCATCTGTGCTGCTATCGCTTCCTTTACAAGTAATTTCCCTTTACTTAATTTAGCATTACCTAAAATAAATTTGACTAATATTGGAACCAGAATGAAATATTGCAAAGCATACATCAGTGTTAGCGCAATCTATCACTGACAAATGAAACAGAACAATCATTTGGTTCAGAATAGTTTGTTTTTTTTAAAGCTTTCCAGCTGCAGGTCTGAAAACAGGAATAAATTATTCTGAAATTTCAACACAACAGTTTTTCTTTGAGTTTTTAATACAGCTTATTTCATTTATTATTGTATATTCCAATCAAATTGATAAAAATGGACTGACTATATATATCTAACTTTAGTTGGCTTGCTAACCTAGCTTACAACATTGTCTATGGGGCTAGTAACAATATGCTAATGATACAGTTCTCCAATAACAAACTAGGTCTATTTAAAAATAGTATTTGTGGTACAACCTCTTTTAGTTTATTGGGGTATAAATCTAGTAGAAAATGTATAAATCACTCCTACTCACTGTCATATACTGGGTTGCCTGTGTCGAGCGGGTGGGCGTTGAGGCTTTACGCCACCATGACATGCTTTGCGGCAGGGCTGCCGATGTGCAGTTCTTCTCTTAGCTGCCACACTTGTTGTTGTGCTGTTATAACCCATGCTGGACACATGTTCAATAAAGCAGCATCATAAGAAAGCTACCGAGTGGTCATTCTACACTCACTTCCTCAGGAACTTAGTGAATCAAGTGTTTTAGGCTAGCATCTGGGTGGTACTTAGTAGGGGTATACTCAGCTGTTTCACAGGGCTGTGCAGTCCTGTGATACTACCAAAATACTACCACAATTAAAAGCGGTCAGTACTAGCACCTGAAAAACAATGCCTAGACTTGGTTGTTTCATCCCATTTTTTAAATCCTAATCTTTCCATTTTTCTTTTCATCACTGCTTCTCTTCCATGTGAGCCAGTAGTTTGAGAGGTACGAGTAAATGCTCATATTATTTCTTTTTAACTTCCTCCAGCTGGTTGCAAGAGAAGATCATCTCTCCCTTTTTGACACCAGTTGCAATTGAGCATCTCACTTCCTCCTAAACTTGCTCTCATGTGATCAGTATGGTTGAGCTCCATAAGCTTAGTTTCAACTAATGTCTTTAACACCTTCCTTAAGAGGGCAGCTTTGACTCTAAGCTGGCTTGACGAGTGTCAGAAATGGAGGCCTTTACACTCGTGTCCACTGACAAGTCAAAGCAGGTCACAGGACCAGACAAATCCCTGATATAAAGGGAAAGGCAGCCAGTAAAAGGCTGTATAAAATGTTTACGTGACGAGCTGGCGAGATAGCCACCGTGTGATATCTGAAGACAGAAGATTAAAAGAAAATACTACAACAGCTATTAATAAAAATAAAACATTGTGGCATATATTTGGATGTGAACCGAGTCAACATGTTGGCTGCTGCAAGCACATGATATGCAATTATCTGCTACCAACTCACCAAGGGCCTGCAGCTCTTATACACTGTGTGTGGGGATTGGAGGATGCAAGAGTGTCACGTAACAGTGCTTGATCAAATCTATTTGAGTTACCCTTGAGACTGATTTCTTTCAGGCTGTGTGATGGTGTAGTATCTGATGTATGCAGCTGCAGCTACGCTATAGAGGAAAGATGGTCGACAGCCTCCCGAGATCAATATGTGCTCTTGACAAAATGAGATTTCTTTGACAAATTAACTATATAAGGTTTGTATAATTGAAGAGCAGGCCACAAAAACAACACAACAAAATAAAAACACTTGAAAAAGGTAGCGAGAGACAGAGTAGTGGGTTATTGCTAAAGAGTTCATTTAAATAACTTTAATGCACACAGATTAAACATGCAGTGTAATAAAGCTTGCAAATGTACACCAACTCTACACCTCAGCTTGGTGCATAAAAGAGTGAGCATGTTTCTAATAATCAATTTTTCTAACTGGTTTCAAGTAGATAAACTTAAAAGCCTGGCAGCCTTTACAAATCATGAGCAACAAGTTGGAAGTTTCTGCATGACAGCCACAGTAAATACAGAGTGTACTTATGTTCTCATCCAGTGATCAGATACCAGAACAGAACTGTCATAATACTATGTGGCATAGAGTACAAGCTTTACAACATCATACTTTTCATGGAAATGGAGAGTCATTTACATACAGTAGCACTTCTCTCATCCCACTTACCACTCAAAGTGCTTTACACAACAGGACACATTTACCTTCACATAGTGCTTTATGCTATGCACTCTAAGCACTTTATTGATCCAACACCCACAACTACAGCCAATTTGAAAACAGCCATTAATTAAAAAGGATGTTCTTGAACTGTGGGATGAAATCTCACCAGGCACACCGAAAACATGTAAATTCCAGCCTGAACCTTCTTGCTTACAGTGCCAACCACTGTGTGGTGGTGCAAGGCATTACGCTGCTATTTCAGTATTCCTCTTGTAGTATCCTTAGACTTAAATTGTACTATGAACTATACTCATATTACACTAAAGTACTGTAGACTTTATCTATAAAAACAACCTCTTCAAGCTTCATAAAATGTTAGGACTTCAAGCAACATGATTTCGCTGAGATGAGTTATGGAAGGACTCAAGCTACAAAATGAAACGGAGCTTTAACTGAAATGAAAAAGAAAATTAGAACGTCAGTGATGTAATAACTCACCCACCTCATGGTCCATCACAATTCACAGGTTCTTGTAATGTTTGAAGCACAGAAAGTAAGTTATCCTTTGCTGTCATTTGTTGGCTGTAATGAACAAACTAATGAGAATTAAAATCCACTGAGAAGGCTCCGTTTTATCCAGGGGGATTAATGCTGTTTCATTCAAATCTGACCAGTCTTCTAGAAGGAAAAGTCCCTATTAAAATGACGAATATGACCTTGACCCTGAGGACAGTTTGGTGAAGACCCATGAGGTTAACATTGTATGCATATTTCACTAACATTTGACCAATGCTAGAGTGCTGTGTTTGAGTATTCGCAATTCTTTGGATTTTTTGAGGGAAAGAAGGATGATGGACACCACACCTTTGCATAAGCTCGTAACACTACACAAAAATACAGCATTTTTAGCATTCTGCTGTATTCACAAATAACAATAAATTACAGTACTGTTTAAGATGTCGTATATTTAGTATTCCCATAATTAATGTAGAATAACAGTAAAGTTCTGAAGTCATGTTTGCAATGTTTTAGCAGTATGCAGAGAAAAGCTATGTTACTTGCTATGACTACATATCAAGTCCATGTAGATTTTTAAAAAATGCTTTGAAGAGGATGAAAATGAAGTGAAGGTCCAAATTCACAAGATAAAACCTGCAGAATCTTGAAGAGAAAAGGACCTGATTCTATTAATAAACATACAGAGATGCAGCAATTGCCTCCCATTCTGTGTGAAAGTGACAGAGAAAAATGGAGAAAAATTGAGTTGCTGCTCTGTCAGATGAGTCAGAGGCTGAGCTGTGACACAGACAAACTCTGTGCACCGTCATGGGTTGTTGATTCCAGTATATGTCCGTACAGTTGATTCAGACAACAGACAAAAAAAAAAGGTTGAAAACTGAATGACTTACTGGCCTCAAAGAGGAAACCTTACACATTAATACAAAAACTGGACTTTGACAAGAACATAAAACATGATAAAGAGCATATTTTATTAACAATTTGACTTTTTCTCTGCAGTTCCGAGAGTCCTAATCCAATGTTAGTGATGTCTTCTTTTTCTAAATCCAAAAGCTCACTCTTTGAAAGTCACTGGGACTGTCTTTAAGTAATACAGGAGCACGTCCCACTTCAGAGGCCAAAACAGTCAATCCACCACATCCCACATTATTCAGTAAATCAGTAAGAGTCTTGAGGTTAACACATTCCAGAGTAACTCCTTAGCGCATTCAGGTTCGTATACTTAGATTTGCGTTATTTACCCCTTTTCAGTTACTGTTACATTTTACTGTATTTGTTGTGAAAAAAATCTCCTCCATATTTGTTTTGCTTTCTGTCCTTTATGAGTCGCTACATACTAGCATCAAGTGCAGCTCAGCTGGCAGGATTGCAGAGAAGAAAGCTTTTAGTCTGTGGAGGTGTGCATAATTTTGAATTTGTGGGTGAAGAGGACATGAACAACATCACAGTCAAATCATGTTGTAGCTGGATGATAGTAAGTATCTGACACTTGTAAAGAGATCTACTTCATATTTTAAGAAGCACTTGCTGGGTAAGAAGGTCTGCAACACTGGTGGCCCATTAAGGTGGAGAATCATAGAAGAGCTACAGCTCCAACTTTTATTTCAGCTTAAAAAAAAAGCTGTGCTGAGAGACATGCTAAAATGCTTGTTGCTGGTTGTATGTGAAGAAAAGGCTACCAGTATTAACAAGCTGTGAAATGAGGTAAAGTCACTACATCAGGGGTAGGCAACCTTTCTGATGGCGAGTGCCATTTAAAATTTCCTCAGAGGTCAGTGTGCCATATGATTGCATTAGCAATAAATTTAATAACGCTCTATATGAACAGTTACACATGATTTAGAACCACTTTATAGAATTATATTTGTTTGCAGATGTTGGCAGCTATCAGCGAATAATTATCAGCTATTTTGAAACAAAAAAATACTTTTTATCCATAACAGCAAATGAACTGTACAACAGTAAATACAAATGCTATTTATGGTGTCCTCACAACAATGATAAGAAAAATAAACTAAGCCAATATGGCATGTCTGTTAATACAGAGATACACATGTTAATGTGATCTCTGGTCTCCCACTCAGAGACACATGTCTCCGAGCGTCCAGCATTCAGATGGCTACCTGAGGACACTCATGTGAGAGTAAATCTGCTCACACAGACATGTAGAGCCAAATACTGTCAATAAGGCCTCTGAAGACAGTTAAACCTGTCAGGTAGTGATGTCCAGCAGCTCCATGAACACGCACAGCTGTGGATTCCAGCTGCTTCGATGTCGCATTAACTGGCATTACCTCAGCCAGTTAATGCGAGACAAATCTAGCTGCTCATTAAAGATTTCTGGTTTGATCAGAAAATAAAACATTGGTCCATACACCTGAAAGTCCCAAAAATGGATTGTGTCTAAAGTCTACAGATGTATCCGTGTATCTCCGTGGTGCTGATGCTGCGCTGAGCGGACAGCTCCTGAAGCTTTTGAAGTGTCGGAATGTGGAAAGCTAACAACGTCCCTCTCACCAGTAGGCGAAGTTATTTTTAGTCTGGTAGTTGGGGTTGTTAGTTAAGATACCGTCATTAAGAAGAGGCACAACTAATGTGTCTATGCAAGCTGATTTGTGATGTGCATTCGCTGCGTGTTGTGCCCAGGGCTGGACTGTGACAAAAGAAAACAGCCCGGGCATTTTGACTAAAGACCGGCCCCCCAGGTATTAAAGCCATAAAGCCTTTGAATGAAAACAAACGCTGTTGTGACAGTGATGTACAGTCTTGTTGGTAAATGTATGATTGCTATACATTTTACATCAGATGACATCAGATAATTATTTAATAACAGCCAGACATTTTAAATGAGAATAAGAAAGTATTTCTTTGTGCCCCCCTCTCCCTGTTACATTCTGAAGTGGATGAAGCAGACTACACAAACTCTATAAAATAACCAACAAGCACAAGTGGTAACACTTTAACTTTAACTGTAACTGTAATTTTTAATGGCAACAATCATGGTCTCAGGCACTAGGATGAGTCTTTTTGAATGCACTATGAGGACAATTTCGTAAGACATGGTCCCAAAGGACGGTAAGGCTCAGCTCAAGGCTTCACGCTGGGACTTCAGTAATCAGTGTGTGAGGTCACAGTGACCAAGCCCATCTCTTATACCCCACATTTCGAGAGCCACTGAGGTAAGGGAACATTAACATCTCAAAAAACTGTCAGTAGCTCACTGTGACTGAATGAACATAACAAAGAGCAGAAATTCTTCATGATTTTACTGAAAATTGGGATCTTTCACGCAAACTATGGGCAAGCACAGTAATCTGCTAGCAACTATGGCAAGTAACTGGGTGAAATTATGACTAATTTCACTTCCAGCAATCATTTTCTAAATGGCCAGTACCTGATCAATTACAATTAACTCTAGGCTAGCAATGATACAAATTGGGCCCGAAATCAGGTACTGAAGGATGCAACCATCAGCCATCAAATTAGATTACACATTTTAAAATAAATCATACAGTATATGACATCTTGATATCAGGTACTAACTCAAAAGTTAATATACATACACAACAGGGTCTTTTAGGAACACTCTTGACTTTACCTTTGTCCTTTTCTCGAAGGTCGTTGAGGTATTTTAGAAGCTCAGCGTTGGCCTGAACACAGTACACTTCTCTCGTCTGTAAGCCTCCTCCACAAAGCCCTGTCAGGTTGCTACGTCGACGGTCTTGTTGGCTCAGCAATGTGTCAACCCGACAGTCGCTCCACTCTGTGGTTCTCCAGGTGTAACTACAGGGTGAACATAGAACATGGAACGATGGGCAACAGTGAGAGAACCAACCATGCGAGTAATGCATGTAATGTAATGCAAAATAAGCATATTTACAATCTTGCAGACATCACTTTACAACATAAATATGCACTTGATGTTTATAACCAATGTTGTCTACACTCCTCAGTTTACTATGCAGCCTTTACAAGGATGTGAAGCATCATTTTATAGCTGTGTCTCTGAAAACCTACTAGATTTTCAGACACATCAGTGTTGGACAACAATAAGTTGCTTAATAAACTGTTGAAATAATGTAAATACATTTTTTGAATGTGGCGAACACTAACATTGCTTGCACTAGCAGCTTTCTTTCTTTCCTGTATTGATCAAGTCAAGAGATTAAACTTTGATACAGCCTGTTTGATAAAGCCTGCTTGTTTACAACTTGTCAGAGAAAGAAAAGAGTGCTGTCCTCTGCAGTCCTCTTTAAAACAAGAGTTAACAGGCATGTAAATTTGTAAATTAATAAGGAATAAAAAGTTTGTCTAGCTGACCACTGTTTCTGGGGTCAACTCGCAGATGAAGCCACCATTTAATTGTCTAGTCCGCTAGTTGTACACATCCCCAACAGAAACATCCGGGATGGGATTGGGATCACACACAATTATAAATTGATATATGCTAAACCATCTGTGAGAATGCTTTTAATGTTTTAATGTATGGGTGTGTGTAATTTTCTGGAATTAGAATATCCTTACAGTCTCCATCCATTTGTCTTTACTTTGTGTCTGGCACCAGCCCAAGCACTTAGACTAATCTATCTCAATATGCTGTCTCACTTACACACATGTACGCAAATAAACACACAGGCCACCCAGAAGAGCAAATTAGCTGGGTGGTGTGTGTAAAGGGAACTCAGCAGGAAGCGTGTGTTGTCTCATTCAGGTTGAATACCAAACACTTTGGGTTCGCTGTATTTGTGCCCGAGCCTTATATGAATCCCTGCAGTCTTTCTTAACCATGCTATAAATAAGAGGTGGGTATCATCACAACATCACATGCAGTTCTATCCCTGTGAAACATGAGCTCCTGTTGTGTACCATGCTATGAATTCCACATCTACACTTTACTCAGTTTTTTTTTTTAAGTCCCTGCTCACTCCCACCTGTGCTCCCTGCATCTCTTCCCTATCATCAGGAGTGACTCACGTGGCACAGGGTGGTATGGATTCACCCTGAGGTTCACAAGACTCAAACTCCTCCAGGGGTGGGCACTCCGCCCCCTCGCCCACGGGGAACTGGAGCACCTGTCTGGTCCGAGTCCGATTGCCTCTGGGAGATTCAGGGTTCATGCAGGTTTTGGTGCAGGGGCTCCAAATGGTCCAGTCGGTAAGCTTGCAGTCCTTGGGGAGAACGCATGACTGGATGGTCAGTGGAAGGTCCCTTGTTAAGCACATGCTGGGAAAAGATAAAGAGGAATGACATGAAATCTTAGTGATATCATAAGAACATTAATGCAATATAAATTTGGACTGTTGGTTGAAAAGAAAAAAAATTATTTATAGCTCCAACAAAACTACAAATAAAATAGAGAATATGCTACATTTGTAATTGAGCCCTTGAGCCCCAGTCAACCAGCCAACCGACCGACCCCTGATCCAATTATGCTTTCGTAGGATGAATGACGGGGTAAGCCCTGGGTAGGTTATCACCCAGACTCTTAATCCAAATGTTCAAAATAACTACAAAAATTAGTAATCTAAGTAATCTAAATTCACGTTTTTATTTCAGAATAGTTTTAATAAGTTTTAATAACCTGAACTAGTCAAAGGTCCAAAAGTATACAATGTCTATCTATAGTTTACACTATTATTCCCATTATTTCTCTCACGACATGAAAATCATGGAACTGAAATAGCAAATAAACTCATCTCAAATGTGTTCTGGCCTACAGGCTTGTTCAGTTTAGATCAGTTGCTCAGGTTGTGTTTTGTTTATCTTTTTGTTATTTTGCCGATGCTGTGACTCCATGAGTGCAGAGGGTTACTGTGTCCATAGCTGTCAGTGATTCCCACAGACAGAGGTTATAAAATTGTAACTGTCTAAAGTGATAGCATTACAAAAAAATGACGTTAAATTAAATAATAACTGAATTTTCAGAACAGAGACTTCCAGATATTTTTCTTTTTATCACTTAAAAGAAAAAATAGTTAAATTCACTACTTTAAGTAAAATAGCATGTGAATAAATCTGAAAACATTTGGAACCTCTGCATATATTGCAGTGGTTGCTGGTCAAATGGCCATGAACACATGAGCACATGCAACCAAATGCTCAGGCCACTGACTGCTCTAAATGCTCAGTTTGAGACTTTTGGCTCTGTGTGATGCTAATGAGAGACGATAACCCTAATCTCTGGCTGTGCGTGAAGAAGCCCACCCACCTGCTATTCAAGCCTTTTTTTTGCAAGGGGCAACAACTTGTTTCAGAGAGAGGTTGAACTGAGAGGATGTAGGAAGTATAAGATAGAGAATGATTACTTTGAATTGTGCAAAGCTACGCTAGAAGAGTCAAAGGTAAATAGACGGAACTGAAAATGAGTATGTAAGATCCAACTCAGGTTGTTTTTTTCAGAAAAAGAAAGAAAAAGGAAAATTATACGAATTGTGAATGGATGTTATAAGTCAAGAGCAGGGTAAACAGTTTTTGGATATAGGCCAACATATTAGCATACAGATACAGCATTCGTGGTAAGAAAGCCGCTAGAATAGAATAAAATAATCCTTTAATTGTCCCACAAGGGGAAATTTGGGTGTAACAGCAGCAAGAAAGACACATGTACAAACAAACAGTACACAAGACACAGAACAGAAACATACACAATTTTTACATATTTACATGAAGGACAATGGTTACCAAAAAGAGTACTGCACCGTTACTAAATTAAATAAAATTAAATGAAGTTAAGAGGCAAACCCTGATTATAGTGTGAATCGGTTGATAAAACTGTGCAAATTACAGCACTGATGTAAACATCTATGTTTGTTGGGAGCAGTTTTGATTGTACAGTCTGACAGCTGCAGGGAGGAAGGACCTGCGGAAACGCTCCTTCATGCATCGAGGATGCAGCAGTCTGTCACTGAAGGAGCTCTGCAGTTACATATATTTGTCAGAATATAATGTGTTAAAATGTTTTTCTTAATAAAAACTACCAGATATCAGCATTGTTGAAAACTGCCTGTAGATTCCCCGACTTAATGAATCCACTTAACATTTCACTATTCTACTTCTTCATCCAAGTCATGCGGTGTACAGCTTGCTGATGCCTCATTACAATGGCACTGAAGTTTTCCGCAAGCTCTCAATTCTATTCTAATGTTAATGTGCCAAGTTGCCTGTTGGCGTAAGACTTTGCATCGACATGTGTGATACCACACATGAAGCTTTGAACCCTCCGCCCTTAACTGTCGTTAGCTTCTCATTAGCATACACACTGCATAATCAGTTTCACATTAAGAGTAAAAAAGCAGTGGTATGGCACGGTGTGTGTCAAGTGTTAAGACAGCAAAAACAACTTCTGATCAATCGCTCACAAACATCTTTTGATCATCTAAACAGTATTTAGACGTAATGAATAACCCGTCCTCTTTGGGTCCCTTCCGAATCATTAGAAATTTGCTCTAACTAAAGCCGACTGCTTTCTGGTACTCGTTCTCGATGTCTTTTCCCTTGAGGCAAAGCAGCTGACGAGCTATTAGTGCTAATTACAGCTCTGCTTCATTTAGAAACCTCTCATTTAGACGTTGCCACCACACTTCACCTCCAGCAACTCAGACTTTTGGTATAAATCAGGAAATGTATGAGCTCAGTTGTGCTGTGTCTTTTTTTCTTTTAACTCCTGTGTCTTCACAGATTAAAACACCTCTGCAGTCTTTGAAGTGCTACTGGAGCGACACTGTGAAAAATCTTAGTTCTGTTTTTCTGCCAAACACGCTCGGTGTGCCGGCTCATCTTGCTTGGGAGGAAAACAATGAGGAATTTAAACAGTGAATGTGGCGCACAGAGGGTGATGGCTCGATTTCCTGTCTCAGATGGAACTTCTTGTGTTTTTAAAAAGCCCCCTAATGCAGCCAGTGACCCATTTTCTCAGCAGCTGGATCCTTTGAGTCGTTGCCGTTTGTTGTGTGCATGCCCGAGCATTTTTGTGGAGATTTCAAAGTTGCGAAAATAAGTCATTATTTCTTCATCTCAGTCATTCAGACAGAATGAGGACACAATCAGATTCTATTTAAATAAGTAAGATGACGTCTGAAAAATGCTCATTCTTAAGCATGTAGGTTTTATACATCTACTTTCAGTAATGGACTCCAACAGACAAGATGCAGGCAGCCAGAAAGTCTGCATACTGTAATTCAACACCTGTACACACTTGTTACTTGAATGTCAAATGACCAAAAAACAAAATTGATGTGGGTCAAAATGATTAAAGCAGTCTTTTTTTAATAAAAGAAAAATATCTGAGGGATAGATGTGGTCTCAAAAAATAAAAAAATAAAATTAGTCGAACCCTGTACGACCTTCCCCATATGGAAAAGAAATAGAAAAAACTTGCATAAGATGTGGCCTACTTCATATAGTGAATCATATAAGGCTTATATGATTTACTCATGAAAGTGGCCACTTTCTCATCCATCCATCCATTCGCTTCCGCTTATCCTTTTCAGGGTCGCGGGGGGCGCTGGAGCCTATCCCAGCTGTCATAGGCCGAGAGGCGGGGTACACCCTGGACAGGTCGCCAGTCTGTCGCAGGGCCAACACACAGAGACAGACAACCATTCGCACTCACTTTCACACCTAGTGGCAATTTGGATTATCCAATTAACCTATCCCCACATGCTGCATGTGTTTGGACGGTGGGAGGAAGCCGGAGTACCCGGAGGGAACCCACGCAAACACGGGGAGAACATGCAAACTCCACACAGAAAGACCCCGGCCTGATGGTGGAATTGAACTCAGGACCTTCTTGCTGTGCGGCAACAGTGCTAACCACCGTGCCACCGTGCTGCCCGCCACTTTCTCATTACTCTCATATATTGTTTTAGTAAGTATCCAAAACACACAAGTTTCATTTATATAATTTTTCAGGGGATCTTATATCTGCTTTCACTCTTGTATGCTTTTCATACAAGTTTCACACAAGACAGATACAAACTTTATAAGATTTATATATATCTTTTCCATATGGGTCTGCATCGAATTAAGTAAGAAACAAGCCCAATCAACAGGACAGCAGCACAAGTTATAAGGAAACTGGCCTGTTTAGGATGAGTTTTGGGCAACAGAGAAAGAAGCGACTCGCTGACAGATGTTCATCAAACAAAATTGGAAATGAAGTGAGCAAGATGTTTGGAGAGCACCCGGTCCGCAGATGACTGTTTTTTTTTTTTTTTTTTGCTGCACTGGGAAGTTTGTTCCACTTTTTTTTTTTCATTTTTTTCCGCAAGTGGCAAAAACAACTATGAATATTTTAGAACAAGAAATAAACAAGTCAAGGATTAATATTTATGTTCCTAAGGGCATGTGAGTTGTTTTCACGGCTCCTTTGAAATATTTGATCCCAGTTAGTGGTGAGAGCTTGGCGCAAACAAAGCATTAATGAATAGATTTAGTACATAATTGATTAAATCTTAGAGTACAAGTGGCGTGTGACTGAAATGTGATATGAATAGAGGCGTGTTCTATTGGCACTGTCACCAAATCCTTCTAAGAGATCAGAGCCGTCGCAAAAGCACAAGTTTGAAGGCAGCAGAGACGACATTTTAACTTAATGTCAGTCAAGGAACAGAAGGCGAGAGGATGGATCCAAAGAAGCTGCTCTTTAAAAGAATAATTGATTACTTTACATTCACTTAGTAAAGACATCAAAGGTTTACACCAATACATGTTACAGAGACTTATTGACACCTGTTTGGCGTTTTACAAGTCTCACAGGTGTAATTTGCAACTTAAACTAAACTGTCCAGACTACATGCACCACATCCTCGGATCTGTAAGATCTTAGTGAGCACAACCTTTGAAGAGTCAATAAAATATACCCTGTTTATAAAATACCAAAGTTAGTACACGAGCAATGAATCTTTGGTTTTTGCTTTCATGCTGAACAACTTCTATATGTAATTTTTGTGTGGCTGATAATGACAGTAAAGTTGTTTTTTGTCATTTGTATTAAGTTAGTCTGTATGTTTTCTGTCTTGGCTATGCAAATAGTGATGGTCAAGTACTTGAATATTGTCAGCAGCTATTTCAGCAAGAAACATTCAGGCAAATAATGGCAGCTGTGGTGAAAGGGTTGTTCCTTTTTTTTGTATGTTTTCACCATGGGCGGCTAGGAAGAAGGTAGAGGTTGGTTGAGTACCAATTTGAAGGTGGTTTGATCCTCTACTCTTCATGTCAAATTA